GAAACAGCCTCCTTCAGCTTGGCCATGACCTCGTTCTCGGACATGGTGGACATGCGGACATCCTGCTTGCGCTCGGCAGGAGTCTGCTGCTTGGGGGGTGCCGGCTCGGCTGGCTTGGGCTCGCTCTGCGCCTGGTTCTGGTTGACCTTGGAGACGTTGAGAGGCTTGACGGAGGCGGGCAGGCGGGCAGGTTGTTGCTGGGCTGGCGGCTGCCTTTGCTGCGTCGCCTGGGCGCCATTGGGGGCCCGCGAGCTCGGGCTCTCATTGTGATGCGCCGCTGGAGATCTTGGCGCAGAGCTCGAGCTGGACTGGGGAACAACGGGGGGTCGCCCAGAGCCTGCAGTCGGCGGAGCGGGTGCTGGTCGCTGGGCCTTCAGACCGCTAATCTGCTGGCCAGGCTTCGGCGCCGGAGGAGCCGCCCTAGACGGGTTGAACCGGTCGGCAGCAGATGGGCCGCCGGAGCCACCATAGCCACCGCCAATCTCTTGCTGAGCCATGGGCACCTTGTTCTTGGGCAGAGACGCGTTGTACTCTTCCATCTCGCGGCGCTCTCGCTCCTCTGCCTCGCGCTGCCGCCGTCGCTGTTCTTCTCTGGCGGCATCGGCTGCTGACGTGTAGGTTGGTGACGAGGTCTGCGCCTGCTGTCGCTGCTGCTGCCCGCCAGGGCTGGGACGCCCTTGAGCACCGGGGCTGTACGGGGAGCCGGCGCTGCCGGGATGGGGCGGGCGAGGAGGTGCAACTCCAGCGCCGCCGCCACCCATGCCCATGGGCTTGTTCTGCATTGCTCCCGGCGGCACGCCGCCGCCAAATTGGTTGTCATTCTGCTTGGCCAGATCGGTGGTGTAGAAGTCGAGGACTTCGAAGACGGCCTGGGGATTGCGCTCATAGTCCTCCTTCGTAATGGCGGACGAGTTGAGCAGCTTGGACCATTCCGGCGGCAGGCCGACAAACTCTCCCGTCTGCGGGTCGAAGCCGACGTGGACGGCGTGGGCGAAATTGGTCGGGTTGCTCACGCCGCCCATGCCGGGGCAGGCGCCGTATATGAAGTCGATCCACTCGTACAGGTCGTCCTCGGACTTGACCTTGATGTGAAGCGCCTTGTTGTTCTGGCCGTCATCGTCACCAGGGCTGTTGGACGAACCGTCGGCCCTTCGCTTGATCTCGAAGATGGTGCCGGCAGCCTCGACTCTGCCGACGTTGACAACGTCCTTGAGAAAGAGGGAGTAGGCCACCTTGCCGCCCTCTGTCTTGTGGAAGTCGATGGACTCCTTTCGGAGGATCAAGTACTTATTCTTCCAAGGTTGGAAAAGGTTCTTGTTTTCCTTGATCGTTGCCCATCCCTCCTTCCTGACAGCGACGCCGCCCATTCCGTCCATGTTGTTCGTCTGCTGGCGAGCAATGGGGAGAGA